CAAATTTACCTCCTCCAACGTCAAATCCAAATCTCTCATGCCGATGTCTTCCGTTGTGTTGGGAAGAAAGCGCTGTCGAAATAGGGGTGGATAGAATGTTTCCCAGCCCACGAGATAACATCAGATAGCTGAGAATGTTGGTGGATAGCATAGGGTCCTCGTCTATTCGATGACTAAGCTTCATCAACGTTATTGGTTATGATATAATGTACTCACGAACGATTTGACGGACAAAACCGGTCCACATGCTGGTCCAGCCTCCTGCAAGCGAACCATATACCAGTCCAAAAGCGATAAGTCCAGCTAATGAATGACTTAATACACCCCATAGGATAAACGTAGCAATGCAAGCTCCCAAAAGGGTAAAAAAAGCCAAGAGCCAGGGGTCCACCCGGTCAGAGAGAATACCTGCTAGCAACCGAGCTATCACTTCGGCACCTGTTGATTGTATTCAGCCCTTATCGCCGCGTATACATAGTGAATACTTGCCATTAAGCATAGCTAGTGAGAGAGCTGCTTTGGATGGGCTAAGGTTCATTGCGGTAGCGAATGCTAAATGGATTGTTAGACATTGCCTATTGTGTTTAATCAAGATGACGCACTTGGTAGCCATACGGAAGGCACGAAGTAACCTAACGAAAATCCGTCAGCTTCGTCTAGAGGGCGGAAATGCGAACGTCTGACCAAGTCCTTGAACAGTATTGATGAGTATCAAGAAGTGGAACTTCCTCTGTTTCATCCACGCCACCGAGTCATTGTCACGATGAGGAAGTGGTGCTTGAACTTTGGACACTGGCAGCCGGCCGCGCATAAATGGCAGCAATGGTACCAAAGCGGCGAAAAAAAACGATGGCCAATATCCTCAGAGTCTTTTCGGTTCCATGTTTCTCGATGAGACCAGGTAGTATCAATGGGAGTACTAGTCCTGATAACGGTGTTCCGGCGTTGATGACCCCATTAGCGAGCCCTCTTCGGACGACAAACCATTCCGACATATATAGGAGACAGGGGTAGTAGATCATTGCTAATCTTGTATCAGTACAGAGGTTCAGGGCGAACAATCGATTTGGGACCTTACCTCCACCAAGTGCGTATAGGACCCCTTGACAGAGTACGAGATTAGTAACCTAGTTTTGTGTCAGCAACCATCCTATAACATGAAAAAAATTGAACCTTTTTCGAGTAACTTGCTCCGAAAAGGCTCGCCCAACAGATTACTGCACCAACCCATAAAGCGAGATGTCTCGATTTAGGGTATCGATTGAAAAAGGTATAAGTAATGGGGCCTTTCTGAATCAATTGGGCATCATCTCATAGCTTATAGAACTCACCAGAGAAATACATGATGGCAGTCGTCAGGGTACCGATTAGGGGAAGTAGGAAGTATGCGCGTGGTTGAGCAGAATAGGTGGGATCCCGAAGGTATGCATCGAGAAATACTCCGAATGCGTTTGGGAAACCCCAAACAATGACTTCTACGAAGAAAGCAGAGATTAGCTATTCGTCAATCAGCCCTAGTCCTAGGAATGGCAAAGAATACAGACATATGACCACGCCCCAATTCCACTGTCTACAGGAGCAAGTGACGAAACATTCAAAGTCGTATCCTGGTCATTTCCTAAAGGCATCTCGCTAGTTTCTGTGCTTCTGACAGTTTGGAGAAGGATTGTCGAAGTGGAGTTCGGAAGCGGGGTGTTGGTGGCGAGCTCTGTAGAATTTCGCGTATTGCATGTTTCGATGCGGAGAGTTGATGACATCTCAAACTCATTGATGATAGATTTCTTGATACTGCTGTCCTCTAAGTGGTTTTCGTGAAGGTTCCTCGCTGAAGCCTTGCGCTGCTGAAAATCGTATAGGGCGTGTTCCATAAAATCTCTTTGTACTCCTTGAGAAGGATGCGACCTGATTCTGGTCGAGACCAAGTCAGGGTGTCTGTCGAGAGGTGAACCAACCACTGGTTTATAGCCGGAACCAAGGAGTGACTCGACTTGTGACCGCATTCTATCTCGGTTTATCAGATCCGAATGCACGCATGGTCCGAATTCTTCGCTCGGATGTTAGGGCCGTTGACCTCATTTAGCCTTTTGGGTATTTAGTTTCCACCCCGCATTGATTCGATCGACCATTGAACCAAATGTTTGAGTATCAACCGAACGAAAAAATGCATAAAATACACGCTTGAAGCAAGAAGATCCCTATGCATCAATGTAGCCGCCCGTATAATTCAGCATTTGTCTCGAGTCGAAAGACTTGTGTTTGATTGTAAGTCAGCAATAATGAAGGCACTACATGGAAGTCCAAACTAGCTGCACCTTTTCCAGCCACCACTGAACTACAAGTCTGGTGTCTCTTATGCACTTCTCGACTGCCTAAGGGTACTTCTATCAAAGCTCCACCCGATACTTGCTATGATGGCTGCAACAGCAAAACATGTTCCGGCATAGAGAATAACATTCTCGAACCTTCCACCGCCAACATCGAATCCCAATCTCTCCTGTCGATGTCTTCCTGTATGGGGGGAAGAGAGCGCAGTCGAAATTGGCGTCGATAGAATGTTTCCTAGTCCACGGGACAGCATTAGGTAGCTGAGAATGTTGGTGGATAACATAGGGTCCTCATCTATCCTATATGTGAGTAACGTCCGACGTCATTGGCCATGATGTATTCTACTCACGAACGATTTGGCGAACAAACCC